AAAATGTGATCTGTTCTCCACACAAGTCCTAAAACTAGATAAAGAGAACCCAATTAAACAAATGAATTAAAAATGTTATACTTGTTCTTTGATTTATTGAGGAAAATGATCCAAAGCTACATATTTGAATGTGGCAAAAGTATGTGATCTTGTAAGATTATCAGTTCATTTGAAAGAGAAATTAGAGTCAGGTGTTTCAATCAATGAGAATGATAATCAGGTGTGAGTGTGGGAAGTCCCATCTTATTTAAAAAACAGAATTCTGGGTATTCACTATCAAAGTCTGATCTTTACAACACAGACATGTGGGAGTGTGTCATGGCTTGAAGAAAGGAGATTTCCGAGGACCTCCAAAAAACAGTTGTTGATGCTCACCAGGCTGGAAAAGGTTACAAAACTATTTCCAAAGAGTTTGGATTCCACTAGTCCACTGTCAGACAGATCATGTACAAATGGAAGCAATTCAACACCATTGTACCTTCCCCAGGAGTGGTCGACCAACCAAGTTCACACCAAGAGCAAAGTGTGTAATACTCCGGGAGGTCTCAAAGAAGCCAGAGTAACATCTAAGGAACTAAAGGCCTCTATTGCATTGGCAAATGTCAGTGTTCATGAGACCACCAACAGGAGAACACTAAACAACAATTGTATGAATGACAGGGTTGCAAGGAGAAAGTCACTATTCTCCAAAAAGAACATTGCTGCCCATCTATAGTTTGTGAAATACCATGTGGATCAGCCAGAAGACTATTGGAAGAATGTTCTGAAGAAGGATGAGAGCAAACTAGAACTTTTTGGCTTGAATGAAAAGCGTTATGTTTGACAAAAGGCAAACACTGCATTCCAGCATAAGAATCTTATCCCATCTGTGAAACATGATGGTGGCAATATCATGGCTTGGGTTTGTTTTGCTGCCTCTGGACCAGGACAGCTTGGCATCAATTATTGTACTAGCAAATTCTACAAGAAAATGTCAGAGTATCTGTATCTGTGAACTGGAGCTCAAGAGAAATGGGTCATGCAGCAAGACAACAACTCAAAACACACGTCGTATGACCAAAAAATGGTTAAAGCAGAAGAAAGTTAATGTTTTGGAATGGCCAAGTCAAAGTCCTGACCTTAATCCTATAGAAATGTTATGGAAGGACCTGAAGTGGGCAGTTCATGCAAGGAAACCCACCAACATCCCTGAGTTCAAGCTATTCTGTAAGAAGGCACAGACTAAAATTCCTCCAAGCTGATGTGCAGAACTAATCAACAGTTATTGGAAACATTTAGTTGCAATTATTGCTGCCCAAGGGGGGCACACCAGTTCCTGAAAGCAAAGGCTCAGATACTTTTGCCACACACAAATATAGGATAGGGATCAGTAATGAGGACAGCAAATTTTACATCAGTATAGATTTCTGCCAATACAGGAATGGGTAGATAGCATTTTTAACTTGGCAGTGATGTCAATGGAGAGGAGAGACTTACAAATAAAAGGTTCCATCAAATAAATTACTATCCTCTAAATTCCCTTGTAACAGAACTGTATGACATATGACCACTACAAAGCCAATCACAAAATAAATATTGAAAGTTGTATGAGTTTTACACTCAGTCTTCTGCTTTGGAGAATACTAGCTGAGATCACCTAACAGTTTCAGCAGCACTTTACAGGAATAAAATAATTAAAATTAAGTGTAGACCCTCTGTTCATCGCTGAATTACAACATCCCTCATCATTGCTGGAATTGCTGCTGTGAGTTGAAATTCTCTACCTCTCCTCTAAATTAAATATGAATGAAACACCGCTTCCATTCTTCCAAAATGTTCTTAATCTTTAAAAAATGTCAACATCTAATGTATAGCTTACTGCAATGCCCTGACATTAAATCATACATTAAGGAAACAATTTATAGAATATTATTCTGAGAGCCAGTCACTCTGTCTCTCAGCCCTAGGAAGAAAGCCCTGGCAAGCCACTTCTGAAAACGTTGCCAAGAAAACTGCAGGGACTTGTCCCTCTAGTCACCAGGAGTCAGGATTGACTTGATGGACCATAACAAGAAGACTATGACAGTACAATCCTGTCACTATACACAATGAGACTATTCTTATGAAAGTTTATATATGATTATTCTTATGAACTTCTCTCTTTTTTGGCAAGGTGAGCATATCAAAAGCCAAAGATAACTTATGTACCTACTATAAACATCTTGAAGCCTGTACAGACATCCCTAAAATAGGACACTTCAGGTGGATTGCAAACTTGGTCTACATTTTCAATTATTCAGTTTCTGCTAAACAACAGTTTCAGCTCCTGATCTGTACAGTTATTCATGAACTATATATGAACATGAGTTTTAGTAGCATAAACATTTGAGCATATTTCTGTTTGATCTAAGATTTTGATTTCTGGGTTTTTCCTACCAGCTCATGCTAAATTTCCTGACTTTCCTCCCCAGGGTTGTTTTTTAAACAGCTGCAGATGTTTTGGAATTACCAACATGCACAGATTAGAGGTTCTGAGGTTTTATTTTTTATTTTTTGCCTTCAGTCAAATTCTTGATGGAACACCTTCTTCATTTGGGGAAGCCACATATACAAGGGATTGGGCAACAGAGCCATCAGCAGTGCCCCCTCCCCCTGGTTTTACATGGGAAGTAATTCAGTAAGAAAGCTAGAGGCCAGAACCCTGCTATCCATCTTTGCATCTACACACAATGTTGTATTAGGGCCCTTAAGTTAAGTCACACACAAGTATTTTGTGAATACTACTATGTAGTAAGGAGAAGCTTTTGACTGATTGCCCAGATAAAGCTTTAACAGTTTGCTTCCAATCTAAAACATACAGGAAAGTTGTACATACTATTCTAATCCAGGAAAACAAAGTAAGCAAGAAGAAGGCGCCATCACTGTATAAAGTATATGGAAAAGAAACATTTCAATATTTGGCTTTTATTACTTGGAAAAATCAAGCCACAAAGTACACTGCACTTTTTCCTCTATTATGTAATCAGAGTTTTGCCCAGCCCAAGATAAAGGAAATAAACACTTGTCATTTTACAAAACCATAATCAAAATAGCTTGAAAATCTTGCACAGTGCAGAAGTAAAGACTTTGGAATGGAAAGAATAGGTCTCTTGGTATAGAAAGATCAGAACTGACCTGGGTTATCTACTGATCTTGCCAAATCTACATATCACATTTTAGGCCAACAGGTATTGGTAGAGAATAATGGACACTAGCAGCTCCAGTCTGCTTTTTTTAAGTGACACTGATACAGTATTGCCAGCTTCTATCTTGTCAAAAAATTCCCCTCACCCCTATGGGTAGTATGTGTCTTCCTCAATCTCGGGTCCTCTACCAAAGGCCTGGGAGTTTGAGGGTTCTGCGCAGTATCTTAGCTGTTCCTAGCACTGCACTCTTCTGGACAGAGATCTCGGATGTTGTTCCTGGGATCTGTTGGAGCCATTCTCCCAGCTTAGGAGTCACCACCACTGGGATCACTTTGGCCTTTACTTTCCACACCACTGGGACCACTTTGGCCTTTACTTTCCATTATATATATATAATGGAAAAATAGTGTTAAATCTTTTGTGTTTCATATCCTGTTTTTATACAGTACAATGCTGCCAATATTCCTCCTAACTTTTTAATTGAGAAAAGTGATGACTAATGCTTTTTGCCGCTGTGTTTAAAACATCAGTTTAAAACATCTGATGCTGAATTGTGCATGTTTCTGTTCAAAGAAATTTGATAAGCCAAAATGCACCAACCTGGAAAGTCATCCTTATATGTGCCAATGGCTCACCATAAGTTGATGAACAGGTGAGACTGAGGGATACTTATGGACATAATTTAATGGATTTATGCACAAATAATGTCTCTTGTATTCTTCAGATTGGGAGAGCCCTAGTTACTATGCAGGACTGAATACATTTTCTTTATTGCACCAATTCAGATATGTCTAACAGGGTTAATCAAGCAGCAAAATGAACCTTATAAACCCAAGTTCAGCTGTAAATTCATTTTATGAACCTGAATATGCTTCAGTGCTGCATTTCTTTAAAGGAAACTCCATGTCAGCATGGGCAGGATCTGAGATATCACATTCACCTCTTTCTATAAAGTACACACACACATACCCCCATTGCCTCTTTCTTCCTCCCTTTGTTTATAGTCAGTCTGCATCTGTCCCCCACCTCACTTTTGCTCCCTCCCCTAAGATCTGCCTCCTGCCCCTAGCCTGCAGGAGTCTTGTCACTGCTACAGGAAGAGATGGAGGGAGGGAGGGAGGAAACAGGAAAAAAATGTATGTGACTTCAGTACTGTAGCTTAATTATGGAATACAGTCATTGGAACGTGAATAGGCAACAAGATGTCCATGGAAATATTCCTTGATGCTTGTGATAAAAGGATTTTGTTCTGTTAAAAACAAAAAGTATTAATTGGCCAAAACCATATGAAAAGGGAGCCGTAAATGTAAATGAACTTGTAAGGAGGTAGGATGAGAAGAGAAACAGGCAGCTGATGGTCGGCCAGAGTAACAACTCATTCTATAATTAAGCATGGAAGAGTAGTTTGGTTGATGTGTCTCTTTAAACAGAATCTATATTATCTGTTCATACATTATTTTAAATTATGTTTTAATTGACCATAATCAATTAATAATTTATTTCCTCTGAATAACTGGGAGATAGAATATAATAAAATCTATAATAAATCTATAAAATCCAAGTGAGAGTTAAATACACAATGGTTCAACTTAATTTCACAATACTACTTATACAATATTATACAATAATACTATTCTGGCTTACATACAAATTCAGCTTAAGGACAGACCTTGGGAATGGAACTCATTCTTAAACTAGGGACTACCTGTATGATAAGCCATGGCTTATAACCATAGTTGCTGTGTTCACACGACACACTATATTACAGACAGACAAACCAACATTTCGGCCTGCAATACTGCATTTGATAGAAGAGAATATATGTAGCTCAGGATTGAACGGTGGAGTCCTTGATCCTCTCTGAACTTGGTTGTTTGCTTGCAAACATTTCATTATCCACCTAAGTAACATCATAGGTGAGTGTGGGGCTGGCTCCCTTTCATATATAGTACTTGCCCTGCCAGTGTTGGTGGGGGTGTGGTTTTCTCTTTAGTAGTTCCTTGATTAGGGTATTGTTTTCTGCTTGATTGTTTGGTGTTAATCCCTGCTTATCTGGGTGTTGGTTGTTAGAGAGAATGTGTTCTGATCTTTTTGTCTCCTTCTTAGCTTTTTTTTTATTGTCTCTTGTGTGTAGATGTGGTTTAACTCTATGTGCGTATTGATAGCTGATTTGTCTGAATGCCAAGCTTCCAGGAATTCCCTAGCATTTTTGGATTTAGCTTGGTCTAGGAGAGCCAGTTTGGTGTAGTGGTTAAAGCATCAGGCCAGAAACCGGGAGTCCATGAGTCCTAATCCTGCCTAGGCACAAAACCAGCTGGGTGACCTTGGGCCAGTCACTTTCTCTCAGCCCTAAGAAGGAGGCAATGGCAAACCACTTCTGAAAAACCTTGCCAAAAAACTGCAGGGACTTGTCCAGGCAGTCTCCAAGAATCAGACATGATTGAATAGATTCAATAAAAAAAAAAAAGATGCTCACAGTTTTCCAGTTGAAACTATGGTTAAGTCTGTCCATGTGTTGTGAGATTAAGGAGTTTTCATTGTGTCTTCTGACTAGTTAGATGCTCACAGTTTTCCAGTTGAAACTATGGTTAAGTCTGTCCATGTGTTGTGAGATTAAGGAGTTTTCATTGTGTCTTCTGACTAGTTGGTGTTCATGGATGTGCTCTGTTAGTCTTCTGTCTGTATGACTCCTGTTGTTTCTTCTTGGGCTACTGGGTCTTTTGGTTTACTAAGGAAGTAAAAATAGCCAATCATTTTTTTAAAAAAATTATTCTTTCTTTACATACAATTATAAATATTGCAACTCTTGCAATTTTTTAATGTGCTGCTCTTTTCTTGTTTAATAACATTTAAATGTGTTTCATTACCAATCTGAAATATTTTTAATGCATTTTTCTTTTTTTAACTCTTAGCTGCCTTGAATACCCAAAAGGTGTTATGTAAATATTTAAAAAGAAATAACCTCTTTAGCACCAGTCCTCTAATAGCCCACGGGGTTCACCACCTTTTTGTCTTCTCTGCAGTTACTTTTAACACCACGCCGGCGGTGAGCCGGCAGTCAAATGCCCTGGTTCGGGGGTGGCCAGGACGGGCAGCAGGAGGACCGCAGCAAAACCCTCGTCTCCCGACCTATTCGCTAGAGTTGCTAATTCAGCAGCTGCCGCTTCCCGCGTGACCGAACAAAAGGCGGGAATCCTGCGAGGGCGCAACGATGAGCAAGCAGACCCTGCAGCTCCTGAGGAAAAGCGGGCCTCGCGCCGCTGGTTGGCTGGCAGACAGACGCCGCTGTTTCTCAGACGCCGGCTCGGGCGTGGGGCTGCTGCTCTCTGCAGCCAAACGCGGCCCTGCTCCAGCTGCTCTGCGGAACGAGCCAATGATCGCTCGCCTACCAGCGCCAGAGGAAAGCCGGGAGGAAGCACTGCCGGGCAGGCAGACGATGCAGCTCCATTTTTAGTGGCAGGCATGAGCCTCTCAGAGAGCCCAAGATGTCTTTCAAGGTAAGTCCGCAGTCGAGCTGCTGCCGGGCGGTGCTGCTCCTGCACCTGCTGACCTCCCGCTAACGTTGCAGTCAGCCGCCGGGGCAGGCCTGGTGGAGCGGCTGCCTCCTGGCGTTAGCCCGGGCTGGCGAGGAGCAGGTGATGGGGGGCCGGCGGGAGAAACCGGGGCAGGGGCGGGCTCGGGAAAACGAGCTCCTGGGGGGGGGCCCCGGGCGGGGGGGCGCCG